GTTTGTGAGCTACATAGTGAGTTCAGGTACAGTCTGTACTACACACCAAAAAAAAGTGTTTGGACTCATGGGTTTGATTTGGAACTCTTTTTTTTTTTTGTAGGGGTGGGTCGTGCTGGTGATAAAACCCAGGGTCTCATGTATGCTAGGCTTTACCACTGAGCCACACTCAGCCCTTAATGTGGAAGTCTTGTTTCTCAATGTGGGAAAGTCAAGCTCAGGTCAGGCCTTCATGCCCTGAAGCCACTGTCTCATTCATGTGTAATGTGTTTTTTTTCTGGGTCCTGGTGTTTGGCCTACACCTTGAGCCATTCCGCCAGCCTTTTTTGTGATGGGGTTTTTGAGATAGGGTCTGGAGAACTATTTGCCCAGGCTGGCTTTGAACCGCGATCCTCCTGATCTCTGCCTCCTGAGTAGCTATGATTACAGGCATGAGCCTCGGTTGCCTGGCTGATATGTTCATTTTTATCTCCAGGCTCAGGTCACCAGGAGTCCTAGCTCTGGAGTCCATTAAACCTGGCCAGTTCAATTTTCCCATTTATCAACTGCTGAGTTGGCGAACCTCATGATGCGATTTTGCTCATCTTTGACATGGGTGTTTTTCTTTTGGGAGAAGGTATGAGTTTTGAACTCAGGGCTTCTTGCTTTCTGAGCAAGCGCTCTGTCTACTGCTTGAGCTATTCTTGTAGCCCTGTCCTGGGTGCTGACTCACAGGGTGTTGTTAGTAAAAAGTGCACATGAAGTTCTTTGCATGTTTCTCTTTATTGCTTGATTTTTGTGTATATGTGTGTGCTTTTTTTGAAATGATGGTCTCTCTATGTTACCCAGTCTGGCCAGTGTTTCTCTGGCCTCAGCACCCCCGAGTAGCTGGACTATAGGTGTTTGCCAGCGCTTCTGGAAGCTCTTTGCACATTGGTACTTAATGTGCATTAGTGAAAAAGATGTTCCCAGCTGAACACTGCTTTTTCAAATTTTGTCTTTGGAAATACCTAAAACTTGAGAATAAAGGTGAATTTTTTTCTATTGCCTAGAGGTACTTCCTGGAGGGCTTTTGACCTGGAGTCTGTGGCTGAACCTTAGGGAGGTTTGAACAACCTCCCTAAGGCTGCAGCATTCCTAGCTCTGTGCACATTTCTTGGCAGAGGGCCAGGTTTTTTTCTTTTTTGTTGTTATTTTTGTTTTTGTTTTTGACTGGTGGTACTAGGGGTTGAGCCACTCCATCAACCCTTTTTTGTGTTGGGTATTTTCAAGATAGGCTATCTTGAACTATTTGCCTGCGCTAGCTTCAAATCATAATCCTCCTAATCTCTGCCTCCTGAGTAGCTAGGATTACAGGCATGATCCACTGGCACCTGGTAAGGGCCACAGCTTTTGAGATTCTCAGAGCATCTTTGTACCTACAGAGGCCTAAGAGTTAGCAAAGGCTGACACCCTGTGGACAGAAAGCTCCTCAAAGAGCCAGACCTCAGTTAGCCAATAGACTATTGGGGTGAAAGAGTCAGCGGCCTCTCAGGAAAGGTAGCAGAAGCCATCAAGATGAAGGTCAGCCTCATATGATATGAGGCTGCCTCAGTTTGTTTTCTTTTCATGTTGTTATTTCCACAGTTAATGTGTTTGGGAATAAGGTCAGGGCTTGTTGGCTATTCTGGGAAATATCCTCTTAGCCTGGCCTGGAACCCTCTCCTGTAGAGCACTGGGATAGGGCTCTGTACTTGCTTTTTCTTTGGTACTCAGGAATGCTACCTCCCAGCCATAAGTTGAAAGCTTTGTGGGAGGTTTAGTGTCAGAAATTATAAAACCTATAGTTTGCTGTGCTATATTCTGTGCCGGAAGGTGGAGTGTGTATGTGGCAAGAAAGATATGGGAACTTCTTATAGCCCGATGCCACAGTGCTCACAGAAGAGCAAAGCCTGAGTATGTTGATGGGGTTTGTAAATGGGGTTGACATTGGAGTCCAGAAAGGAGTTCCAGACAGCTGGAGTGTGAGTGGTGATTGGAGGAAAAGTAGGAACTGACCAGGAAGATGATGATATCTAACTGGGGGACTAACTTTGCCAAAGTCCTGGTGAGTTCTGGTATGTGTATGTGTGGTACTGGGTCATGGTAGGAGAGAATGACTTGACAAAATGAGGACAAGTGTTGATGGCCACTAGCAGAGATTTGAGATTTTACCTTTAACCCAAAGGTAAGGGTGATGTAGGAGAGATACATAGCCAGCTTTGTGGTTTAGAACTCAGGCATATAAAGTTTAAAGAGAGCAAACGTGGTCTTGGCCAGAAGACCCAATGTCAGCTCTAATGTGCTGAATGAGCCTGGGGTGAGACTGCCTACATTGCTGAACTTCGGTTTTCTCACCTGTAAAGCAAGATGACAGTGGAATCTGACTAGGTGTGTATTGCGATCACTACATGGAAATAAAACACACAAAGGTCAAACTGGCTTGGAGCAGGCTTTAAGAGCTGTTCTTGGCATCTTTAGAACAAAGGCTTCCATCCCCATAGTTTTGAGAGTACCTTCTTACACTTCCTGGGAGCCCCTAAGTTTTTCTGTAACATATTTTGTCCTACCAGACCAGAGGCCTCTTTTTTCTCTTTATCCCTTCACCACTTCAGTCAGGTAGTTGTATTTTTGTTTGTCTCTGGTACTGGGGAAAGAACAGGGCTTCACACTTGCTAGGCAGACAGTACCACTTAAGCTACATCTCCCGCCTTTTTTTTTTTTTTTTTTTTTTTGAGACAAAGTCTCGATACCCTTTCCTCAGACTTACGATCCTTCTGCCTCTGCCTCATGAGTAGCTGGGATTATGACATGTGCCATCACGCTTGGCTAGTTTTTGTATTAGAAAGTTATTACACTATTAGATCAATAATATTGAAAAAGGAGGAAAAGACACCCCCCCACCCCCACCCCCACCCCCACCCCCGTACTTCACCAGTTCCACTGTCCCACCACCTGGTGGCACTTGTCTTTGAATGGGCTTCTGGCCCTAGTTCCCCTCACCTCCATCTCTATAGCTTCCCAGCTTCCTGCCCTCAACTGTTTTTGTGTCCTCAGACATCTGTTGGTGCTGTTTCTTCTGGTTGGTGTGTTCTTTTCCAAAGACCTTCTCTAAGAGCTGCCCAACCTTGCTATGGGTCAAGAGCAAGGCAGAGATGCTGTCAATCATTCCTGTAGCTTTCCTCCAAAGCTTTCAGTGACTGGGCAAGACATCTTGGGGGATGCTGTGGGGTTGGGGTGTGTTAAGTGAATGCTAGAATAGAAGGGGCAGAGATATGGGTGTGGAAAGCTGTGTTTTGCTTCAGATCCTCCAAGTTTATGTATGGGTACAGCTATAGTTGCCTCAAAAATGTGATCAAGACAGCAGCTGAGACTACATGTGGCTCCTGTGCTTCTCCTACTTGTTGATTTGTTCTTTGACAGTATGAACGGGGATACACCTTGTGTTCCTGTATACAGGCTTGACTGGCTCCAAGCTCCGCTTGTTTTGGTCATCTGAGCACTAAGCTTCTATTTTTAGTACCAATACCTCTAGGGACCTAAAATAAAGCTGACTTAGCTTTCTGGTCCCTTATTGGCTGGCGTGTTGGTCATAGACTGAGGGATTGGCTGTGTTGTCACTGGCCCTTTACACTGTCCCTACTGGCTCCTCTGGCCCTGAGTGAGGTCACAGGAACTGGAGCTAGCTAGTACTTACCATATTAAGGGCTTTCCAGGTTCTCTTAGTGAATCTATGTCATCATTAACATCAGTATTAGCATCCCTATTTTGTAGAGGAGGACACTGAGGCTCTAAAAGGCAGTGACTTGTATTAAGATACTACTACTGCTAATGGTTGTCTTCTGGGATCAAACCCACCTCCTCACTGCTTTGACTCAGAGTTTTATTATTAGGACAGAGGGTTTGCTCCTCTATAGTCAGAGATAGATACAGAACAATACATGGGTCTTCAATCATAAGGTCTACAGGAAAATATGGACCTTCCCTTGAGAGGGCCTAGCAAAGCCATAGTAGCTATATTACCTGGGGCTTGGACTTTCCATCCAACGTCCTTGGGATCATGGTCTCTAACTGAGAGGGGTTCCTCTCAGTCCCTGTGGATGAAAGCAGTGCTGAGTTGGAAGGATTCAAAGGAATATTTCTCCCTCACAGCCTTCATTTATTTCTTTTTTTTATACCCCTTATTTATTACTCTGATCTTCTAGGGCTAGGTTCCTTTTTTTGGCGGGGGGGGGGGGTTGTTATTGGCTGGTTGAACTCAGGGTTTTGCACTTGATAGGAATGAACTCTACCACTGAGCCACACCCCCAACCCTCCTGTGATCCTCTAAATTCATGTCCCCAGCTTTGAAGTGGATAGAGGTCAACTTCATCAATGAAGAAATGCCCCAGGTCAGGTATCACCTGGCCTCAGAGATGTCAACTGCTCCTTTAGGACTAAGGTAGACTAAGGGAGTCACTTGCTGTCATCAGAAGTGGGGCCTTGAGGAGCTCTTTACTACCCACTCTCACTGGGCCTTTCTCCTCCTGTCAGCAAAGCCCTGGGATAGTTAGTGTTGGGAGCTTAAAGGCTGCAGTATAAACACTCCACACATAGACATCAGTAATTTCTAGTGTGTAAAGGGGGAGGATAGCAGGAACTCTGGCCTTGTATGTTGTGGAGAATTAAATGAAAAGATATGGTCTGGGGCAAATGCTTAGCTCTTCCAAGGACCCTTATTGAACATTGTAGGGCTTACTCTGATTTTCTTTTAGCCTGGTTCTACCCTCTATACCCATCATGTGTGCTCTACAACCCTGGCACCCCTCTGTCTTACCAACCTGGAACTTCTCAAAGAAAGGGCAGAATGTGGTTTGACTTGAAAGTAGTCTCTTACCTAATCACTAGAGCTTTTCCAGGTCTCAGCAGAGGGATCCATGTGCAAGGAGTGCAGGGGTCATTGGCTGGCTATCTCCTGCTCCCATGGTACCAACATTTCCATCTCTGTCTCACTGGTCTTGCAGGTCTCAGCGAGGCCGGGCGATACTCCAGGATGGGAGACAAGCCAATTTGGGAGCAGATTGGATCCAGCTTCATTCAACATTACTACCAGTTGTTTGATAATGACAGAACCCAACTAGGCGCAATTTATGTAAGTCTTTAGCTCTAGGGCCAGAATAGGACCCCAGGGGATCAATTTGGATGTTGGGCCAGTGCCCGGTTGTCCACAGGATGGGGACTATTTGTTTCACACATGTCTTTCTTTTTTTTTTTTTTTGCGGTGCTGGGGTTTAAACTTAGGGACTACACCTTGAGTCACTCCACCAGCCCTTTTTTGTGATTTTTTTTTCAAGATAGGGTCTCACGAGCTATTTGTCTGGGGCTGATTTTGAACTGCGATCCTCCTGATTGCTGCCTCTTGAGTAGCTAGAATTACAGGCGTGAGCCACTGGTGCCCGGCGCTACACATTTCTTTCTATCTTTCACAAGAGTAGGGATAGTGTTATGCTGGACAGGGAACATGGAACTTGCTATACCATTTGGCTAGCACTTTATCAGGGCACATGGTTCTGGGAATGCCTCTGTTCCAGATCAGATAACACCAGGCAGAGACTAAGTCTTACAGTACTCCTTTTGGGGCCAAACCCCCTGAGTGCTCACTGGAAACATGAAGTTAGTCCAAGAGAGCAAAACTGCCCTCTTTTTGAGAAACCCTTCTCTACAGGCATTGTTTTCTATTATGATGATACTCCTTTACATTTATACTTTACACTTATACTTGACCTTGTATGAGATTCAGTCACAGAAATGCAATTAATGAGGCCACTCCTAGCTGCTCTGCCCAAGATAGGGGTGATCCAGACATTGCCTCATAGCCTTGCTGGGCTATGTGCAAATCCTTCTGTGTCTGCCTCTAAGATGTCAAGGTCTGTTTAGAATAGTGGACAAAAGAAAGGAATCTTAGCAGTGATAGACCAAATCCAGCAAAGATATTGTTTGTTATTATGAGTGGAGGTATTTTTTTCCTCCAGTACTGCAGGGCTTCATGCATATTAGACAAATGCTCTACTACTGAGCTCTACCCCTCACCCTTCCCATATTCTGTCCTCTCTTTTTTTTTAAATTTTTTTTTTGAAACGGTTTATCACATATAGCCTACGCTGTCCTCAAACTTGAAATTTTCTCCTATAGCTGGTATTATAGGTCATTATCTCATAATTAAGGCAGCCCTGACCTAGAAACAAATTATTTTAGCAAGGTCCTTAAAAGTACTTGATGTATATCATTTCATAATCCTCAGTACATTTCCCCTTTGAAGGTTAGGAAACTAAAACTCAGAAAAACAAGTAACTTGCTTAATATCACAGCTGGAAATAGCAGAGGTCTTTTTGAGGTCTTCCCCTGAAGGCTGTGGAAAGGAAGATTGGGAAGAGGGGTTTGGGGGGGCTAAGCTAGTCCTTGAGAGGCCTTGTGAGCCTCCATGATTCCCAGATCCCATGGTTACCTAGAAGGCTACCTGGAAAAGACAGAGTGGAACTCAGCCACAGCCCTGGAGGTTATAGTGAATATGGGATTTTTTTCCAACTTGTTTCTAATGACATTGTTGGAACTTATGCTTACTGCTACCATGCAGCTTTTGTCTGACTCTTGGCCATGTATGTCTCTCCTGAGGCACATGCATATCAGGAATCATGGGTTCTTGAAGAAAAATGAGAAATGAGCTTAATAAGTGTATTTCGTTAAATAGTTGTTTAGAGGCCTTGAACCAAATATGGTGTAATTTAAAAAGTTGTTGCTAATGTAGAGTTTGGGGGCTACTCTTAGTTCCCCTATTTACGGACAGAGAAACTGAAGCATGAACTCATTTCCCCAAGCAACACTCTTTTCAGGATTGTTTTAGGACCTTAGGGATAGTCCGTTGTGCTGAGGCCCTGACCTTGGATTTTCTGTTCATCTTTTAGATTGATGCATCATGCCTTACGTGGGAAGGACAGCAGTTCCAGGGAAAAGCTGCCATTGTGGAGAAGTTGTCAGTAAGTAAGGATTGATGCTGGGATGTAGGCAGCTCTTTCCTTACTCCTTCTGGCCTCAGCCCACTGCCCACTCTTTCTCTTGCAGAGCCTTCCGTTCCAGAAAATCCAGCATAGCATCACTGCTCAAGACCATCAGCCCACACCAGATAGCTGTATTATCAGCATGGTTGTGGGCCAACTCAAGGTAGTACTGCTACTGCAGGGCTAGGGAGGAGTGGGCAGGGTGAGCAGAGTTTTGGTCCCCTCATTTCCCTGTGAATTTGACCACAGGAAAAGCTGTTCTTATCATGGGACACCCAGACAAAGTGATTGTCTAGAGCCGCATAGTTCAATACAGTAGCCATTAGCAACATAAGGGTTTTTTTGTTTTTGTTTTTGTTTTTTGGTGCTGGATATTGACCCCAGAGCCTCACATATGCTAGGCAAATGCTCTACCACTGAGTTACACCCCCCAGCCTTATGATTTTTAAATTATATTCATTAAAATTAAATTAAGATTTAGTTACTCAGTTGCACTAGGCATATTTCAGGTGCTCATGATTGGTCATTTGCGGTTGCCTGTTGGACAGCAGACACAGAACATTACTGTGCTTGCAGAAAGTTCTAATGGAGAACACTGGTCTAGAACCTTTATGGAAAAAGTGTAAGGCATAGGAGCACGGTCAGGTTGTGATGCCAGGCCCCTTCAAAGGTAGAGGTAGACTGGCCAACTGGGTGCTACGAGGCAGTCCCATCCTGGAGCTCTTGTTGGCCACTGATCTAGGCTGGTTCCTTATCTACCAAGCAAAGCAAATTTCTGCAATTCCTGCCTCCTTGGATTTTCTTTAAGACCTGTCATCCTCAAAGCCTTTCTATGGCCCCTTTCACTCTTAAGAACTCTTGAAGGAACCTGTTGTGCTTTAGCATATTAAAGCCAGATTGTGTTTCCAAAAGCCTCTCTTTCTTCTCAAAGCCACACAAATTGGCTGCCCCTTGGCTAGGTCTCAGCCTCCTGGGAATGTGTCGTGTAGGGCTCACAGTAATAGACTCATGAATTCTCTTTAGGCTGGAGCAGGGCTTCCTGAGTCATTTTTATGGGCATGGAGGGAAGAGTACTCTTAGGTCTCTGCATTGGACCCATGGGACTTGGCTGTCTGGCCTGAACTTTCCTGTTGATCCTTCCTTACCAAGATGATCTGCCCAGAGCCTGTGCCCAGATTGGCCCTCAGGATTGAGAAAGTCTTTCCAGTGCCCTCTTTCAGTCTGGGGTAATAAAGCAGTGCCACTTCCCACCTGGTTTCAGATTCTTCCTGATGGAGACTCCAAACTGGAGTCCCCAAATAACTGATTTGCCTTCTTACTGACATTACTTCCCAGAGAAACAGTTGATGCTGGAGACAGTACTATTTAGTTGGTCTCCTAAACTAGGTCTCATCTAGTTTTCTGCATTTTAGCTGGAAGTTTCTTGCCTTTTGTTTTCCATTGCAATGTTATATATTATGTGACAGGAAATAGATCACCTGATAATTGTGCTGGTTTTTTTTTGGTGGGACTGGGGTTTGAACTTGGGGCTTTGTGCTTGCAAAGCAGGAACTCTGCCTCTTGAGCCATACCTCTAGTCAGTTTTGAGCTTTACATAACTTATTTGGCCACAGTTAGTATTAGTAGTAGTTTGTCCTGATTTGACTGACTGGCATTAGCAAACAGTAAGAATGATTGCAGTGTTTTGATACTGTAAGTTAAATGGAAAGTACTACAGGATTCTTTTATTTTTTAAGGAGTTTTTTTTTGGCAGTATTGGGGTTTGAACTTAAGGCCTTGGACTTGCTAGGCAATCACTCTTATCACTCAAGACATGCCTCCCATTCTTAAAATTTTGATCACTTGTACCAAGAAACATGGATGGGTTTAGAAGCAGTCATGTCTTCTGCTCTACTGCTGTAGGTAACTGGTAAATCCCTCCACCTTTTAAGTGCATATGGCAATGCAAGCAACCATCTGTTGGCATCAACATGTCCAGCAGCGTTTCACACATTATATTAAATTACATTCACATATACCCTTTGGCTATACTGGGGTTCTAGTCCAAGACAGTAGGACCTAGCCCAAATTCCACATTCTGCCTTGTTCCATTGCCAATGAATTCCCTCAGTATTCTTTACTGAATTATCTTCTCTCTCTTCGCAGGCTGATGAAGACCCCATTATGGGATTCCACCAGATGTTCTTATTAAAGAACATCAATGATGCTTGGGTTTGCACCAATGACATGTTCAGGCTTGCCCTGCACAACTTCGGCTGACCCCCTTGTGGCCATTTACTCATGCTGTTTCCTCCTCCCTCCTCTTCCTGATACTATCACACTCCTCCAGATGCTCCAAATATCATACACAAATGAGCAGGGCCAAGGTGGGAGTGGGTGCAGTGCGCTGCTGCCACCAAGGTGTTGTGCATGATGTTTGGACACTAGACTAGTTGCATCTGACAGGAGAAGTTTGTGTTGTACCAGCGCATGCCTTGGAAAGACTTAAAGTAATGCAAAAGGTTGTCTTTTTTTTTTTTTAATCTACTGACAAGTTGCTCTAGTAACCCAAAGAAGTGAAGGAGAAAGCAGCTGCCTCACCACCCAGATATTGATTTGTTCAGATGTTTCAAATGCCTCATGATACAATAAAACCACAAAAATTTTCTTAACAGTTTAAATTGTTTTAATTAGCTTAATAGTTGGCTGGGCATCAATAACTACCCTGTCCTATTTCTCTCATGTCTCACCCTCCCACCTCTGCCTCAACTCAGCAATATGTGCAAGGAGAAAACTGGATGAAGCAGCATTCCCAGGTTGCTTATCTTGAGCCTGGTGGGACAGAGAGCTCAGGTCTGACCTGAAACTTCTCTTGCATTGAATCCTCTGTAGTCAGTTCTGTCATCTCCTGTGGCCTCTGTCCTGGGTAAGTTCAGGGCTCTAGTAGTAGCATTGGCAAACCTGGCCTACCAGTTTTAGCTGTCTGGGCTGAGGTCTCAGCATGACTGATGGAAGAGCCTGTTCTATCCCCAAGCCAAGCAGAAGACAGCTCAGATCCTGTACCATCTGCTTGGGATATCATTACCCACAGAGCCAGGCTCTGCTGGGCTGGAGTATAGATTCTGAGCTATAGAAGAAGTCAGTCTTAGTATCAGGGATTCATACTCTTGAGTTCCCACCCCTCGGACCTCTGCAGGGCATGTCCAGGTTGCCTTCTATTCCCTTCCTCAACACACACACACACCCTACACTATCATCAAGTTCCAGAAAATGTTAATCATTAGGACAGTTTCTGCTCCTCAGTTTTGGGCACAGGCTTTGCCCACTATAAATCTGGCTCCTCCTTGAATTCTCTGGATGGTGTAAATTAAAGCTGGTAGCAACTGCAGGGTAAAACCAAACCCAGGACTTGGGCTGATGCTGTTAGGGGACTTAGAATGGGTGAGGGCACCCTGGTTCAGGTACACTTGTAAAGGGGACACCTTGTCCCCACTATGGGGTAGGGTAAGGATTTCCTCAGACTCCGTAGTTTGCCTGGCTACACTGGGCACAGGGCTGGATAGTGTGTTGTTTGAAGGACAGCATTCTCTGGAGATCTCAGTGGGACTGATCTTATGCTGCTGTGTATGTGGGGGGTAGGGGAGAGGTAGATGTCTGCTGCCTCTTAAACCACCCTGTATAAAAGCTGCAATACAGCTTCTACCATGTACCTGTGCCTGAAATGTCTGCAATAAAAAGGTGTTTGTAAAGTATGGTTTCTTTCTTCCTAACCTGAGGGTGCCAGGTGGAACAAGGGGATGCTGGGGGACAGTATGGAACAATGGTTGTGTTCTTTGTGGTAGTATCATCCCTTGCCCTTGCAATTCCTAGACCCTCAGGTCCCTCCAGGCCTTGGTCACTGCAACCTATTTACCAACGGGGAAACAAGCTTCTGCCAATTCAGTATATTCCTCAAGGTCGGAAAAGTCCCAACCTGGGTGGCTCAGGTGATGTAAGACTATCTAGAGTTCACAGAGTGGGCGGGGCCTGGGCAGACTACTGAGAGGAGCAGGTCTTAAGGTGGTCCAGTGCTATACGTGGACATTTGCTCTGCCTCAGTCTTGTGTGACCTCCCTGGCTCGGCTGGCACGGGGATGGAGCTGTCAAGGGGAACCGGCTCTGGTAGGGATCAGTTTTCCTTCATCCGGAACCTTTCTTCTCCGGCTCTTGCAGGTTCCGGGAGCGGAGGCTCGTTGGGACCGGAAGTGGAGGCGGTTGGTGGGGTTGATGGAGAGGGACGCGGCATCGACGGCCGTTTGTTAGCTAGCTAGAGGCTCTGGTGTAGTGACCCGCATCCCACTGTCTGGCACGGTCGCGACTGGGCTAGGCTGGGCGGTGCGCGGCGGTAGTGGAACGAACGCCGTACGCGCGGGGCGCCGGCATCTGGGCCCATGGCCTCCTGCGCGAGCATCGACATCGAGGACGCCACGCAGCACCTGCGGGATATTCTCAAGCTGGACCGACCCGCAGCGGGTAAGCGGGAATAGCGGAGGTAGTCTCTTAGCAAGGAGATAGTCTGGTGGCGTGGGCTTGAACCCCGCTCAGGGCCGGCATGTGCCTTAAAACCAGCTCTGGATCGTCCCGGCTGGTGAGGGCGGACGGGGGTCGGAGTTTCATATCCCTAAGCATTCCCAGCGAATGGCGCACACCCCTGAGTGTGTCCCCTCCCCATCCTGTCACCAGACCGTTCTGCCTCGTCCTTCAGACTCTCTACTGAAGGTGAGGCCCCTTCTTTGAATTCACTAAGTCCCTCTGGTTTCATGACCTTAAAGATTCGTGTTCCTAGGACTGGCCCAGCGTTTCTAACCTTTCATCATTGGTCCAGAGGCCTGGTGTAAACTCTTTATCGAGTTCTAGGCCTAGATTTAAACGTTATGCTGAAGAGCCTCCAGTCCCCCTCTGCAACTTGCCCTTCCCTCTGAAATACAGATCCCAGGCCTGCTGTTGCTCGGAGACATTTTCTGGAGGAAGGTGGCCAATCCCAATTCTGTGTTCTTTTTGGGATGAACGCAAACCAGACTGCAGGGCCACAAGTGGATTAGGTTTCAAACATGTGCTGGCCTAATTTGTTCTCATTCATTCAAGTTTTACTTGGACTCCAGATATACCTTAGAACTCTTGCAGACCAAGAGGCCCCCAGGACACAGAATTAACAGGGTTGTAATACAATGTTGTCATTGTTGAAGAGTTGTTAGGGTACTATGATGGGAATGATGGCATGTAGTAAGAGAACTGGAGATGCTGAGAAAGGAGACTGTTTAGGTTAGGTCTCATAATATGAACAGGAGCTTCAGTGTCAGGAAAGGCACTCAAGGCACCTAGTAGACAAATCCACATATTACAAAGAGGAAATAGTATGTAAGAAAGCACTAGAGTTTCCTGGCAGATTGAGAGATCTCAGAAAAAAGCTGTAGTAGTAGAAGGGCTGGCTGGTGATGGTAGTGTTGGTGTGCAAAGGCCACAGCTGAGAATTGATGTATCCTTAGACTTTGTCTTTACACCTCCTTACTCCTTCTGGAAGTAGGCACTGGTGTTCACTCTGGGTGGATTTAGCTAACCCACACTCTTAAGAAAATCCATATGCTGCCTGAGACCACTGGGCCCTTTGCCCAGTGGCCTCAGGGGTGGATACCTGGAGTGTGTCCTCCATTTTGGTTTGTACCTCATGCTTATCATCTGTTTAGCAGACTGTGCTCCACAGAGGTTGAGTAAAGCCTGGCATGGCAAATCATGTACAACCTGGGCCTGCTGTTTGTTTATCCTCATGAAAGGATGCTTGCAAAGGAGAGTGGTCAGCTTATCCTTGAACTAAGATGGCTCTAATCATAGTGAAGTAGCCTAGAGGCTGTCCTCATAACTCCTTTGTTTACTGGCACTTGATTCTTGTTTGCCAAGTAGGTTTTGCTTTTGTCTTCTCACTGTAGGACTAAATCAGACCTCAGATTGTTTTGTGATGAAGTTTGCTGTGTTCCTGAAGTTCTAGTCTCCTTGCTAGCTAGGAATTTTGACCGTAGTGTCTGAGCTAATTGTTTGAAACCCAGTCAGAAACCAGATATGGTGGCACATACCTGGAGGGGTGATGGTTGGCCTCCCAGCACTTAGGAGGCAGGAGGATCTGGAGTTGGAGGCCACCCTGGGATTCATAGTGAGACCTTGTCTGAAAAACAACTCTTTAAAAGCCTAGCATATGAGAAACCCGGGATTTGATCCCTAGCGCAGCAAAAGAAGCAGCAGCAGAAGGAAGAGAAAGAAAAGAAAGAAACCCCAGCCAATGCAAACGACTGAAATGCTATCATTCATGACTCCCCACTCCACCCCATAATATATCTCCTCTTTGTTCAGCTCCTTCATGTCTCTTCCTCTTGGGTCTACCTGCCTAAGTGGCTTCTCCTGAACCAATTCTGTGTGAGGAAGGCCTCTTCCTTTGTTACTCCCACATCTTACCTGTGCCTTTCCAAGCCTAAGAACCTGTCTCCAAACCCTGCCACTACCTTGGTCTGATCCTTTGTATCTCTCACCCAGATTCTCAGATATTCTATATGCTGCTTTAGAGCAGTCAACCCACTGGCCAGAGCTAACCGTGTCACCTTCCCCTTTAAAACTCTTTTGTGAGGACAGCCATGGTAGCATTTACTTTGGAGGCTGAGGCAGCAGGATCCTGAGTTTGAGGCCATTCTGATCTACATAGTGAGACCCCATCTCAAAAACAAAACACACCTCTTTTGTGGGACTGGAGGTACAGCACAGAGGGAGCTTGAGTAGCATGTGCAAGGCCCTGGGTTCTATCCCCAGCACCTCAAAAAGAAAGAAAGAAAAAAACTCCACAAAACTTTTGTGTCTCTTTTTCCCCCAGGTAGAGTTTAAGCACCTCAGTGTTGTACCTGAGGCCTTTGCAGCTTTGCTTTCTCTCCATTTTTCCTGTTTGTGTGTAGTGACTACAATACCTATAATAGTGCTTCCTCTTTGAAAGCTTTTCTGACCTTTTTGCCATGCCCTCTCTGTAGTCACAGAGTTCATCTTTGCTGACCTCAGCCTGAATATTAATTGCCTTAGAAGGTTTTTGGTATTTTTTTGTGGCTCTTACCCAGGACCTCACACATTCTAGGTAAGTATTCTACCACTGAGCTATGTCCCTACACCCACCAGGGGGTTTTTGTTGCCTTGTACCTCTCCCTCACCCACATAGAAGAACCTTGTCCTTATCCTTGATCTTGGCATGTATCAGCATTTATGAAATGAGAGATAAATAAAGGGCCCTGCTCACCACAAACATGCTGTGTTCAATTGAGTGTTCCTAGAGCACCTCATGGTCTGGAAGGAAGCTCAGCAGGAAGAGAGATTAGTGGCAGGTTGATTAACCTTGTCATGGCGGTCCTTTCTGTCCCCAGGCCCCAGTGCAGACAACCAGAGGCCATCCAGTGCCTACAATGGGGATCTCAATGGGCTACTGGTCCCAGACCCCCTCAGCTCAGGTGATGGTACATCAACAAGCAAGTCTGGTCTGCGTACCATGCCACCCATTAACCTGCAGGAGAAGCAGGTCATGTGAGTACCTGGGAGATGGCAGTGGTGGTAATGGTGTCTTTGGGGCTTCAGCTATCTGAGACATGAGATAAGGAGCAAGAGGGGCCAGCAGCTTCCCATCTTGATGACCTGGGACAGAGCATGTAACTGCATTGAGCTTGCACTGGGATGAGAGGTGAGGACAAGCTAAAAGCTTGGCCTGATGCCTATAGAATGGAAGTAGGCTTATTTCAAAGGAGGGACACAAGCAAGGGGAACTATGAATCTAAAAACAGTGGACCAGGCAGAGCTGGGAATCTGGAACTAGTCATCTTCACCAGGTAGTTGAGTTGTCCTAACCCTCCATTGAGTCTTTTAGTGAAAAAGAGACAAGGTTTGTGCATCTTCCTTCTAGCTGCCTCTCTGGAGATGACAGCTCCACCTGTATCGGGATTTTGGCCAAGGAAGTGGAGATTGTGGCCAGCAGTGACTCTAGCATTTCAAGCAAGGCACGGGGAAGCAACAAGGTAGGTACCAGAATGTTGTGCCATGTATAGAGTATGAGAGCACACCCAGTTCCTCCCTCTTCCCCCATGCTGACAATTCCCATGACAAGCAGGGAGGGTACCAGGGTTGACTGCCAAGCCTCTGTGAGAATCTGGCCATGGGGATTTTGTGGGGTGGCTGGACTTGTATCTATGACTTCTCCCATCCCAGTTGTTATTGAGGATGACCTAGGCTCTGGAGAAGCTACTCCAAACTTCAGCTTCTTCAACCTTCTTCACTTTGGGTTTTCAGGTGAAAATCCAGCCTGTTGCCAAGTATGACTGGGAGCAGAAGTACTACTATGGGAACTTGATTGCTGTGTCTAACTCCTTCTTGGCCTATGCCATTCGGGGTAAGTAGAAGCAGGGGAGAGGAAGAAGTATTCTGCTACACATCACATAGATTCAGATATAGTGTTGGGCCACTCAGACCTTTAGGGTACAGTGGAATGCTTATCTGGGCTGACCCAAACTCTGCCAGGACTTGGGGGAGCTGGGCAAGGAAACCAAGCTTTGAGACTATGATGGTGGCATGGAGACAGACAAGGGTAGGGTTTCAGTGCCACTGCCTGGGCCTGAGTGCTTGCTCATGTCTCCCTGCTTTCCTGATTCTAGCTGCCAACAATGGTTCGGCAATGGTGCGAGTGATCAGTGTCAGTACTTCGGAGCGAACTCTACTCAAGGGCTTCACAGGCAGTGTGGCTGATTTGGCTTTTGCACACCTCAACTCTCCACAACTCGCCTGCTTAGATGAGGCAGGCAACCTGTTTGTGTGGCGCTTGGCTCTGGTTAATGGCAAAATTCAGTATCCATTCCCAGGCATGGAGACTGCAGAGGGGTGGGTGGAGCTAGGGCTACCAGACATACTTGATCATCTATCTAGCCCTTAACACCCTGCTCAGAGAAGAGATCTTAGTGCATATCCGGCAGCCAGAGGGCACACCACTAAACCACTTCCGAAGGATCATCTGGTGCCCTTTCATCCCTGAGGAGAGTGAGGACTGCTGTGAGGAGAGCAGTCCAACGGTGGCCCTGCTTCATGAAGACCGGGTGAGGGGGCCAGACCTGGTGGAAGAGGTAGCAGAGCCACCATATTATTATGCACATGCCTGAACGCTCACCTTCCTATACCTTTAGGCTGAGGTGTGGGACCTGGAGATGCTCCGCTCCAGCCATAGTACTTGGCCTGTGGATGTCAGCCAAATCAAACAGGGCTTCATTGTGGTAAAAGGCCATAGCACGGTAGGCCTACTAGTGTTTGCTTCCCTTCCCTTTCCCTCTTCCCTCTCCCTCTTCCCTTCATATATTTCCTGTATCCATAGCTGCCCAGGCAGCTTTACCACCACTGTCCATGGGGATGCTGAGCATAAGTGGCTTTCACCTATGGAACTCATTCCTACCCTAGCTATGCCCTGGAGGCCTGGTCTTCTTTGTAGATCCCCATGCATTCTTTCAGTCACACACGTGTGCAAGTACAGAGTGGGTAAGCCCAGCTTACTTCAATCTTCATTTCCACTTGTAGTCAGGTTACAAAGCTAAGCTCTTTGGGTTTTCCCCAGTGCCTAAGTGAAGGAGCCCTCTCCCCTGATGGGACTGTCCTGGCTACTGCAAGCCATGATGGTTATGTCAAGTTCTGGCAGATCTACATTGAGGGGCAGGATGAGCCAAGGTAAGGCAAGTCCTGAGGGACCAGGACCTCCTCCCCAAGGAGGGAACCAGATGACTCACTCAAGCCCCTCACCTACCTGCCTGTAGGTGTCTGCACGAGTGGAAGCCTCATGATGGGCGGCCCCTCTCCTGCCTTCTGTTCTGTGACAACCATAAGAAACAGGACCCTGAGTGAGTGAGTGGGCAGGCAAGCGGGTGGCAGGCTGGACCATGAGCTAGCTGGGAGTCCAGATAGCCACTTTGTGCCTTATTGCCTTGCAGGGTCCCTTTCTGGAGGTTCCTCATTACTGGTGCTGACCAGAATCGAGAATTGAAGATGTGGTGCACAGTGTCCTGGACCTGTCTGCAAACCATTCGGTAATCAGGGGCTGAGGAATTGAAGGTGGCAGGATGGTGATGTGGCTTCTTTGAATTCTCAGTCTCATTTAGCCTGTTTCTTGGCTTCCTAGCTTCTCTCCAGATATCTTCAGTTCAGTGAGTGTGCCTCCCAGCCTCAAGGTTTGCTTAGACCTCTCAGCAGAATACCTGATTCTCAGCGATGTACAACGGAAGGTAAGCTGCTATGGGGGTACCTAGACAGGGCCAGTGTTATCAGGGAGAGCAGGGGTATAGGATATATGCACCGCCCTCATAGTCTTTGAGCTCAGCTAGGAATGTGCTACCTGTGCAGGTCCTCTATGTCATGGAGCTGCTGCAGAACCAGGAGGAGGGCCGTGCCTGCTTCAGCTCCATCTCAGAATTTCTGCTCACCCATCCTGTGCTGAGCTTTGGCATCCAGGTTGTGAGTCGCTGTCGGCTGCGGCACACTGAGGTGCTGCCTGCTGAGGAGGAGAATGACAGCCTGGGGGCTGGTAAGTTGCCCTAGACCCAGAGCTCTATGGTTATATGGGAAAGAGGGGAGTGTCAAGGCACAGAGCAGGCTAGGGGCTTAATAATCCACACTGTCTTTTCAGAGAGTTCCCATGGAACAGGTGCTTTGGAGTCTGCAGCTGGTGTGCTTATCAAACTCTTTTGTGTACATACTAAGTAAGTGCGTTGGGGAGGCCTACCCATGCCCTATCTGTGTCTCTTCCCTACTGGCCCTGGCTGCTTTGAGCACTTCTGTTCTCTCCCTCTCTTTTCCTGCAGGGCACTACAAGATGTGCAGATCCGCTTTCAGCCACAACTGAACCCTGATGTGGTGGCCCCACTCCCTGCCCACACTTCCCATGAGGACTTTGGTGAGTAAGGACTTGAGAGGGAAGCAGGTTACACTGACCGGGGTCTAAGATATGATTCAAGTGGCAGCTTTCCCCATAGCCTTTGGAGAGTCTCGACCTGAACTGGGCTCTGAGAGCCTTGGATCAGCTGCTCACGGCTCCCAGCCTGACCTCCGACGCATTGTGGAGCTGCCTGCACCCGCCGACTTCCTCAGCCTGAGCAGTGAGACCAAGCCTAAGTTGATGACACCTGATGCCTTTATGACACCCACTGCCTCCTTGCAGCAGGTACACTGCCCTCCACTCCCCCAGCCAGGGGGACCTGGAAATGCCCAGCCATGGCTGCCATGCTCATGCTCTACATCTTCCCAGATCACTGCATCCCCTAGTGGTAGCAGCAGTAGCAGCAGCAGCAGCAGTAGCAGTAGCAGCAGCAGCTCTCTAACAGCTGTGTCTGCCATGAGCAGCACCTCAGCTGTGGATCCCTCCTTGCCCAGGTAAGGGGAAGGTCAGAATTGGGTGATGGCAGGAGCTAGTGCCAGGTGATGTCAAGCTCAGGCTCCTGATGCCTCAGCCTTCCCACCACCAGGCCACCTGAAGAGCTGACCTTGAGCCCCAAGCTGCAGCTAGATGGCAGTATGACAATGAGCAGCAACAGCAGCCTGCAGGCAAGCCCTCGTAGCCTTCTTCCCGGCCTGCTCCCAGGCCCAGCTGACAAATTGACTCCCAAGGGCCCTGGACAGGTACACGTGTGCATGTTAAGTTTGGGTAGCTGGTGGGTGGCAGCAGGGAAGTTTGGCTGCATTTTTCTCCTGCACTTTTTCAGCTGACCCTACTCTACCCCAGGTACTCCATATTCCTCCAGAGGTCATGTCAGCCTTTCATGTTCACTGGAGGCAATCTCCTCAATTTCCCCATCCCCACCTCCTCTCCTGGCTGTGACCCTGCTTTCCCATTTCTCATCACTACTATCAGTTCCTTGTCCCCATGCCCCCTCCACCACCTTCTTTCACTTAAGCTCTCATCTTTGACCTACCCCAGGTATCTACTGCTGCCTCTACACTGCCCCTGGAGCTGCAGGAAGTAGAGCCCCTAGGGCTACCCCAGGCCTCCCCCAGTCGCACCCGCTCCCCTGATGTTATCTCCTCGGCTTCCACTGCCCTGTCCCAGGACATCCCTGAGATTGCATCTGAAGCCCTCTCCCGTGGCTTTGGCTCCTCTGCTCCAGAGGGCCTTGAGGCAGATAGTATGGCCTCAGCTGCCTCGGCACTACACCTGCTGTCCCCACGGCCCCGACCAGGGCCTGAGCTTGGCCCCCAGCTTGGCATAGATGGAGGCCCTGGGGATGGGGATCGACATAGCACCCCGTCCCTGCTAGAGGCAGCCTTGACCCAGGAGGCTGCACCTCCAGACAGTCAGGTCTGGCCTACAGCACCAGACATTACTCGTGAGACCTGTAGCACTCTGGCAGAGAGGTAAGATGCTTGGGAGGGTGGAAGTGCTTGTAAGAGGGGCCTCAGATAAAATCATCTACTGAGTGTCTGCCTGCCCCATCAGTCCCAGGAATGGCCTCCAAGAGAAGCATAAAAGCTTAGCCTTCCACCGACCACATTACCACCTGCTTCAGCAACATGACAGCCAGGACACCAGTGCTGAGCAAAGGTAGGCATCCCCTACATCATTCTTCTCATAAGGTAGGGCTGACAGGTGAGCAGGAGCTTACCCTTCACTCCTCTTTACAGTGACCACGATGATGAAGTGGCCAGCCTTGCCTCTGCCTCAGGAGGCTTTGGCACCAAAATTCCTACTGCACGGCTCTCTGCCAAGGATTGGAAAACCAAGGCATCCCCTCGGACCTCACCTAAGCTAAAGAGGAAAAACAAGAAGGATAATGGGTAGGGGGGCGGTTCTGGGGCCAGGGAAAGGGGTGGTCTCTAGGCTGCCTGACATGGCCTGAAGGGCTTCTTGCCTGTGGTAGGGATTCAGCTGTGGGATCCCGGCTCACTGAACACCAGGTAAGTGAGCAAGCACCTTTCTATCCATGGAGGGTGGGAGGGACTCTGGGCCATCCCCTGGTCTGGCAGGTGGGGATAGGTGGGAGAGGCATCATGTGACTTGTTAGTGCTACTGGCAGATGGCAGAGCCCCCTGAGGACTGGCCGGCACTAATTTGGCAGCAGCAGAGAGAGCTGGCAGAACTGCGGCACAGCCAAGAAGAGCTGCTACAGCGACTGTGTGCCCAACTTGAAGGTCTGCAGAGCACTGTCACGGGCCATTTAGAACGTGCCCTCGAGACCCGGCATGAACAGGAACGTATCCTTGGGGGGGGTGGCATGGCATGGCACAGGGACAGGGCAGCATTCTTGGCCTGAGGATGGGTGTGGGACTTGCTCCAGACCTGTTCCTTAGCTACAACACAGAGCGGCGACTAGAGCGGGCACTGGCTGAGGGGCAGCATCGGGGTGGGCAACTGCAGGAGCAGCTGACGCAGCAGCTGTCTCAGGCACTGTCTTCAGCTGTGGCTGGACGACTGGAGCGCAGCATACGGGATGAGATCAAGAAGACGGTTCCTCCATGTGAGTTTTGCATGGAGTCAAAACCAGGGTATCTGACAGGCTTCCTCTCCTGGTTCCACTTCTCTTTCCTCCCTGTGCCCTAGGTGTCTCCAGGAGTCTGGAGCCTGTTGCAGGTCAGCTGAGCAACTCGGTTGCTACCAAGCTTACAGCTGTGGAGGGCAGTATGAAAGAGAATATCTCCAAACTACTCAAGTCCAAGGTACTATAGGACCTCAGGTGGGAGTGGGGAGTGGCTAGACTGGCCAGGTTGGGCTTAAGCCTTCAACTTGGCTTCTCCCTATATCCCAGAACTTGACAGATGCCATTGCCCGAGCTGCTGCAGACACATTACAGGGGCCGATGCAGGCTGCCTACCGAGAAGCCTTTCAGAGTGTGGTGTTGCCAGCCTTCGAAAAGAGCTGTCAGGCCATGTTCCAGCAGATCAATGATAGCTTTCGACTGGGCACACAGGAATGTGAGTGTGGGGTCATATGACCCAAGGTAGGAGGGCATTGGCTTCTCCTTCCATCATCCTTCTTACCATCCTTGTGCTTACCCATCAGACTTGCAGCAGCTAGAGAGCCACATGAAGAGTCGGAAGGCACGGGAACAGGAGGCCAGGGAGCCTGTGCTAGCTCAGCTTCGGGGCCTGGTCAGCACACTGCAGAGTGCCACTGAGCAGATGGTGGCCACTGTGTCCAGCAGTGTTCGTGCTGAGGTGCAGCACCAGCTCCATTTGGCTGTGGGCAGGTGTGTGGGTAGGGCTCTGGAAGAGGTGGCAGGTTTGGGAAGGGCTAGACTAAGCTTGTCCATCTCACTGTCTACTTCATCTTTCTCACTTCCCTCTGCAGCCTGCAGGAATCAATTTTAGCACAAGTACAACGTATCGTTAAGGGTGAGGTAAGCGTGGCACTCAAGGAACAACAGGCCACTGTCACCTCCAGCATCATGCAGGCCATGCGTTCAGCTGCCGGCACACCTGTCCCCTCTGCCCACCTTGACTGCCAGGCCCAACAAGCCCATATCCTGCAGTTGTTGCAGCAGGGCCACCTCAATCAGGCCTTCCAGCAGGTATGACAGCTTTAGGTCCTAGTAAGTATTAGGTGTCTCTTGACAAGGCCACACACCATACATTCCACTCTTCCCACCAGGCTTCGGGCTGTTCTGGTTCTCTTTGGCCTTCAGGCCATTGCCCCTGTTGCTCCTTATCCTGGACTTTCTTCCTGCCTCAGCCCGCCTCACTTCACCACTATCCTTCTCTGGAAAACTTTTCAGATGACAGTACAGTCCTATAGTGCTCTCTCTGGGTTCCTATGAATCCCCCTCTGGAACCCTCTGGTCCTCCCCCAGACCACACACCATAGACAATAGGCATTCTATCTTAATGTTAGCTATAAATGCTGCTGTCCTGTTCTGCTCCCCAGGCACTGACAGCTGCTGACCTGAACCTGGTGCTGTATGTGTGTGAAACTGTGGACCCAGCCCAGGTTTTTGGGCAGCCACCCTGCCCGCTCTCCCAGCCTGTTCTCCTTTCCCTCATCCAGCAGCTGGCATCTGACCTAGGCACTAGAACTGACCTCAAGCTCAGGTGAGTAGGAACAGTCAGGAACCAGTGGATGAGCTGTAGGGTGGGGGCAGGGAGAGGACAATTTAAAGCAGAGACACCCACCCCACTTTTGCCTGACTCCCCTCCCTAATTTTCTCTATCTCCATCCTCCTGAGGCTTAGAGGTTTCCCTTGTGTCCAGTCCCTCTGGGATTCAGTGCCACTAGGGGGCACTGCCATCTGTTGTCTTCCAACTGTAGCTTGTCTTTTTCTTCCCCACTCCCAGCTACCTGGAAGAGGCTGTGATGCACCTGGACCACAGTGACCCCATCACTCGAGACCACATGGGCTCTGTCATGGCTCAGGTGCGCCAGAAGCTCTTCCAGTTCCTGCAGGCTGAACCACACAACTCACTTGGCAAAGCAGCCCGGCGTCTCAGCCTAATGCTGCACGGCCTTGTGACCCCCAGTCTCCCTTAGCAGCTAAGCCTGCCTTATGCAGGGGTGGAGTGGCACTGAGGGCTAGCAGACAGGACTATGCCAAGGCTGGATCATGTCTGCAATTTACCTGCTCAGGCCTCCATCTCGGGTGTTTGGGGGTGGGGGGCAGGGTGTACTGGCCATGGTCTACAGATCATGGTAGCCAGCAGGGTTAGGTTGGGCCCAGAGGCAGGTATTGTGCTTTTTTGGGTTCTACCATGCCTGAAGCATGACTCTTAAGATCGTGACACTCCTTGAGTTGAATTTTCCATGTTTCTTTTTACCTCCGACTTGGATCTTTTTGTTTTTGAAAAACACTGAGAAATTCAATTAAATGCTTTTGGAATAAAATGGAATATGTGTGTGGTTTTGATGTATCTTTGATAGAAATAACTGTCTTCTCCTCTCTTTGGGAAAGTCTGTCTTAACCCATCCCGGGTGTCTTGGATAACTAATCTGATCGACTGCATTCTCAGATCTCCCCTCTCCAACTCTGGGGCAAGGCTCTTAGGTCCAGTTCAGCCTCAGCCTGTGCCTCTGCGATTCTGCTCTCTGGGGTCCATTCTACGTCTCTGCCTGTCTGGGTACAGGGGGGCGGAGTCGCCTGCTTTTCTTTAGGCTCCGCCTCCGGCTCCTATCCAATCAGGGTCCCTTCTTCCGAGGGCTGGGCAGAAGGGCTGTTCTCCTAGCCGCTAAATCCAGCACTAGGCTCAGCCAGGGACAATGCTCCGCTGCTGCCTGTGGCGCCGTGATCAGCGGCAGCCCCGTGCCCTGAGGCTATTGCTGTTGCTGCCATTCGGTGAGTGCTAGCGTCCTGGACCCAGCCCAGGCTGCACCCCTTTTCGCTGGGCCCCACCAAGCAGGTTACAGGGTATGTGGGAGCTGGAGACCTAGCTTTCCTGGCATTGGGCACCAGGGTGGAGAGCAGTTGTGAGAAAGAAAGTGTAACAGTGGCTTCAGCATGGAAAATGAGGCGTGAACTGAACCCCATTTATGGAGGAAGAGCCTTGAAATTTTGCAGCCCCTTTTCTGATAAGGGATTCCTAGCCCAGCCATGAGATCCCTGAGGTCCTCTGTGAGAGTCTGATCTGCATCACAGCCCCTGTCTATCCTGCTTAGCTTCATCTCAGACACCCATCTTTAAGGAGAAGGTGGGAGTGTCGATTGAAGCTCAGAAAGTCTACAGAGATTCATGTTTGTCCAATGGCCCTATGCCTCTGGCTCCATCCCTCAATACCCCGCCCTGACTCCACTTTGACCATCCTCTCCCACCCTGATGTAGGACCCCAGAAGCTCAGAGGAGGAACTGACCCCTGGGACACTATACCCTGTCCCCCACCCCAGCCCCCCATTTGCCCCACCCTCATGCCTCCCAGTCTGAGTCCTGTCTTGAAGCAATACAAGTGATCCCTAGACATGTCCCTCAGTTCCCTAGAGCAACATTTTCATGTTGAGTCACGTCCCCAGAGCACTCTCAGGTAAACAAGCCCCTTGGGGCTGGTGGATAGACCTGGCTCATCCTATCAACTATTCTCCATTCCCTCAGTCCTTGTACCTCCCATAGCAGCAGCCTCGGAGGGTATAAGCCGCTGTGACATGATATACCAGGGCTTTGCTGAGTGTCTCATTCGCTTGGGAGACGGCATGGGTCGTGGAGGCGAGCTGGAGACTATCTGCAGGTACTGGCAGGTGGGAGGCAGCAGGCAAGTAGAAGACTGCCAGATCCATGCCACCCTTGGGGTCTGAATCACTTCCCACTCCAAAACCCTTTGCCTCCCCCAAACCCCCTAATCCCATTCCTTTAAAAGGTCCTGGAATGATTTCCATGCCTGTGCCTCACAAGTCCTGTCGGGATGCCCAGAGGAGGCAGCTGCCGTGTGGGAGTCACTACAGCAAGAAGCTCGTCGGGCCCCACACCCAGATAACCTGCATGCTCTGTGTGGCGTCCCTGTGAGCATCCAAGAGCGTGGCTCTGGCCCAGAGATCAACCAGGAGACTCTGCGGGCAATAGCATCTGCATCTGCCTCACTTCCAGCGCCAGTGCTGCTGGCTGCTGCTCTGGCCCTTGCATGCTTCCTGGGGCCTCTGGCCTAGCTAGCCAGTCTGCTAGCAGTGCCTGTGCCTCCAGCCCTGCATCAGGGGCCACTGTCCCAGCTCTGCAGAGTGTACATGGTTTTCATTAAAGGTATTTATATTTGCATTTCATTAAAGGTATTTATATTTGCACTAATCGCCTTCCTTTCTCCAGCTGTGGCCTGCTTGGCTGGGACAGGGTGCTTCCACAAGCTGATCCCCAGCATAGAATGGGCAGGGCTAACAGCCACCACATGGGACTCAGTTTGCCTCCTTGCAAACATTCATTTCCCAGAGGCAACACTGAGCTTTCCATTATGTGCATGTCCTAAGTGCCCCAATCCTACGAGCTCCTCAGGTGGAGACCTGAGATTTTGCCAGAATGCATAGTTATTCTCTTCCTTACCAGGCTGACTGGGTTGGGGGACCAGTTGGGGTCTGGAGGGCAGAAGTTCTCAGGCCTGCACTACTAGCCTTGCATACCCCTTATGTCATGGCCCCTAGAGGCCAGGTATGGCCCTTGATTCAGAGCCTCTCACCCCAACCTACCCACCTCCTCCCCAAGCTCCTTCCAGCCTTCAGGCTCCTGATGTCTCACCTGCTCTCCCTCTGCTGAACTATCATGGAAACCTTCAAGACATGCTCAGTCCCTTTCTCTTCTGGAGTTTGGCCCAATCCAAAAACTGGCCTGTTCTAGAAGGAGGGGAGCCCCTGTCCAAGTCCACTCCACATTCAAGTCCCTGACAGGATCTGAAACTGCAGAAACTGGGGTTACAATGAGGGATCCTCTAACCTCTGGCTCAACACAAACATGTTCTTCGAGAAGAGAGGTTTGAAGTTTGGAATCAAAACAATCCCAGAAGGTTTTCTGGAAACAGCGGAATGAGAATATGTGGTGTGTGCAGAGCCCCTGTTCATCTTAGAGGGGAAGGAAGGGCAAATAAGAATCAATCTGTATGGGCAAAAGCTGGGGCAGAACATGGTGGCTCAAACATGGGGAGGGACTCTTTTCCAAGCTAACACCCCATGACTTGTGTGGGCACTGCCATGGCTTCTATTATCATTTCCTCTACTTTATTCTTAACTTTCTAAATTGAAAAATGAGTGTGTAAATTAAGCTTCTTTCCCTTTATCTATAAGGCCCTGTATAAGCCAGCTCCATCCACTCCTAAAGCCCTTCTCTGTGGCAGCACAGAGAAACTTTTAATTACCCAGGGGAGGCTTCAGAGAAGTGAAGCAGCACTCACAGAGTGATAGGAGATAAAGATGCTGAAGTTACAAATGGTGCAGTCTGAGGTAGAGAGGGTTTTACAAAAGAGATCCAAAGCAATCAGCTGAGAAGGAGCAAGTCGTGGGATCCCAGAGCTCAGCAGGTAAGGCTTAGACTGCCCTCCCCACCAGGACAGAGTAAGGCTTGATGAGCTCCTTGCTTAGGCTCCAGGTAACAGGTGTTTCCAGAGACTCCACCCCCCCACACACACACCACACACACAGGTGTGTAGGAACCTTATGTCATTCATGCTTCCTAAATATCTTCCTTCCCATTGTGGCTGGCTTGGATGCCTCCATTAACTCCTTCTTTGCCCTGACTCTACCTTTACTCTTGTGCTTCATTCAGCTGGACTTTTATCCCCACATCTATCAACCAATCATTGCCCATCTTCTCACATTATCAAAGGAGAAAGTTCACAGAAAAAAGCCCACCTACATCTGCCTTCCTTTGCCTCCAGAATTTTCCAGAAGGAACAACAACTCTTTCTTCTGGGTCTTTGTACATTCATATTTTTTGTTCAGAATACTCTTCCTCATTTCCTCCTGTGAACTTCTACTTCATATTCAATATCACCTCTTCCAGGAAGTACTCCCAAACCCTACATTTCAACTGAATTAAAGTCTACTCAGCTCTAGCCTTGCATACCTCTCAGAAAACTAAGGCAGATTTTCTCCTGCCTCAGTATAGATAGCACTGGCTGGTTATTGTTTAGGACCTGGTAAGAATTTCCCACTGTGGCCTCCTCAAAGGCAAGGAGTATTTTTTTGTGTCTCTAGCACCCAGTCTAGGCTGGGTATAAAGGGTGCACATATGGAGTGTGTGATATGAAAGAATCTCTAAATCTGGCATAGTAATTGTTACAGTCAGCAAGAGCTTGGACTGAGAATGACCCCACTTCAGTGTAGAGGATGTGTCATCTTGGAGCAGTCTCCTCAGCCTGAGTCTAGTTCTGGAAGAGATGGTGCTGGGGCTATAGACCTCAAAAGTTTTCCAGCCAGTCCTGATGAGTGACCAGGAGCAGTCTAATTCCAAGAGCAGGGGCCTGGATGGTCTGGCTAGTCACTAAGGGGATTATCATCCTGCTGTGACCTACTTTCTGGTTTTTTGCTCCCTAAGTCCACTCTTCCATGAAGTAGGGACAGGGATAAGGGAGGGGGAAGGAATCTGCTTTCTGGCCAGGGGCTTAAGGGCTTTGTGTGTTTTATCCCAGAGCTAGAGGAGAGCGGTGGGCTGATAGCCAAGTTGACTGGGCCCTGGGCACAGCTGCCCAGACCAGAGCATCACGGTGATGGTGTATTAACATTTGTAGCCATATGGACAAGAATTAGCTTAGTATTCAGAAATCAGTCTGGGGGGCGCTGAATGTCCTGGGCCCAGTCCCCTGTGTATCAACATACCTCTTCGTGGCATGGCCTTATGTACTCTTCCCACAAACCAAGACCAGCAACTGAATATAGGGCTCAATAAATATTTGTTAACTAATTGGCTGAATGTCTGTAAAATGAAGTGGTGTGTGAATTTCTGAGTGTCATCAACCCTGGAATTCTGGGGGGTTTTTGTTTTTTGTTTTTTGGTGGGACTGTGCTTTGAACTCAGGACTTCATGCTTGCAAAGCAGGCACTCTACTACTTGAGCCACACTCCGGCCCATTTTGCTGTGGTTATTTTGGAGATGGGGTCTCATGAACTGTTTGTGCAGACTCGCCTTGAATCTCTGGATCTCAGCCTCCCAAGTAGCTAGGATTACCATAGTGAGCCACCGGTGCCCACTCTGTATTATTTTTAATCCTCTGTGAGGTTAGGATTATGATCCCCAATATATAGATAAGAAAAGTGAGGCTTAAGAAGGGGGATGTTTTCCCTCAGAACACACACAGCTGTGGAAATGTGGAAATATCAAAGCTTGGATTTGATCCCAGGTTTGTCTGGCTTCAAAGTCTATGCTCATAATTTCACTAGAGTTTTGGAAACATTTTTTGGAAACATTAGTACTGGGGTTTGAACTCAGGGCCTCCCACTTGTAGGATGGCACTCTACTGCTTTGACCCATACCTGCAGCCCTAATTGCAGTTTTTTCTTGTTTTTTTATTTTTTATTTATTTATTTATTGGCAGTACTGGGGTTTGAACTTCGGCCCTTGCACTTGGTAGGCAAGCATTCTACCACTTGAGCCATGCTTCCATTCGTTAATTTCAGTTTTTAAAAATAGGTTTTGTTAGAGAAATGGAAGTCAATCTTTTGAGGAGATCCAGAGACAGTTCGAGAAGGCTCTGTTGAAACTCAGCATCCCTGACCTCGTTCTTCAAGTGCCCTTTTCCCAAGCTGCATGGAATTGTAATCCAGTAATCCTAGCTACTTAGAGAGGTGGAAGCAGGAGATTCAGGAGTTCAGGCCTGCCCGGGCAAAGTTAGTGTGACCATATTTCAAAAACAAAAACAAAAGGACTAGGGGCGTGACTCAAGTGGTACAGTGCTTGTCTAGCAACAGCATGTGTGAGGCCCGGGGTTCAATCCCCAGTACTAGAGGGGAAAGGAAAAAAAAAAAAAAGCCTCTGTCCTCCAGTAACAAATCTTGAAACTTTCGGGTTGGAGGCGTGGCATTAGCAGCATCGCGCCTGCCTGGCAAGCACCAAACCCAAAGTCTGAACCCCAGTACCGCCAAGAAAAACAAATAAAAACTCTTGAAATTTCCTAATTCCCGCGGTCCCGGCGACAATTTGCTGAATTGCTACTTGGAGCAACAATTAGGCCCACCCCCTGGAGATAGCCGGTCCCCGCCCCAAAGGCGCTGATTGGCAGGCTGCGCTCTCTCCTCGGAGAGTCGGCCTCCTAGGCAGTCCGGGTTTGTTTTGGCGTCGGGTGCGCGCAGTGATGACGCCACAGCGCTGACGCTGGAGGATGGCCGCGGCGGCCGTGGCCGCAAGACGGTCGGCTAAGCCGCCGAGACGCCGAAGAGCCCGCCGCTCGCGCGAGGTGAGGCGGCCCGGCTCTGGCCTACGGCTCGAAGGGCGGGAGGGGCTGGCGAACTGCAGCCATGGTCGCTTCTTGGCGCGCTAGGGCCTGTCCCTGTGTAACCCAGAGCCCACAGCCCGTGTGCGCTGGGGCCTACCGGGTTGGGGAGGAGACCGGGCAACAGCTATTCTGGGTCTCCGGTGTCCGAGACTGGCGTGGTCTGGAAACCCGCTGCCGTGGTGGGCGTGGTGGGCTTGGTCATAATGCCTGCCTGCTGTTCAGCTGTCCCGCGTCTGGCGTGGATCAGGTTAATGTAACGTGGTTGCCGGCACTGCGTCTCTCACCCTTCCTTTGCGATTGAACATCAGGGTCTGGCAGGGCAAAAGATCACTTCCTTGTACTGACTGGAAAAACGCCTGAGTCCATAGCTGGGTCGCCTCCACGGCAAATCTGTCATCCTTGCAAGGGGAAGCCTCGCCCTGTCCCTCAGTGCTCCTCCATGAAGCTGCCGAAGTGATAATTTCCACCAGAAAATCTGGATAAATCCTTCACTACCTAAAACTGACTTCTTAATGACTGTAGATAAAGGCCAAAATTCTTAGCTATGGCTTATATCTTTTAGAGGGCGGAAGGTGTGGCCCAAGAGGTAAAGCGCATGTACCACCAAAATAAATACATACATACATTCATACAAGCATATAATCTGGTAGATGCCTAACCCTGTAGTCAACACCTGAGCACTTCTATGCTTCGATTTTGAAGTTTATTGTTGAGTGAGCCTCCTATTAGCTGTGTGGTTTTATACCCTTGTGCTTTAGATACAGTTTTCTCAGTTCATAATACTCTTCCTTCATCTCTGTACCACCCACCAGTGTGCGAAATTTACATGTCTTTTAAAGTCCTCCTGAGATGTTTTTCTGGAAAAACCTTTGCTTCACACAGCAGTAATGTTTACTGAATCTAGTGGGATAGGTTACAGATTTATGAGTTGGTATAGACTCAGCCATATTATTGAGCTTCTGTCGGGGCCAGATTAGAGATGAACACAGCAAACACCTATGTGTGTGGTAGGCACTCAACCTTGATGGTCTAAAATATTTTAGGGGGTGCTGGCAGAGTGGCTCAAGTGATAGAGTGCCTGCCTACCAAGAGTGAGGCACTAAATTCAAACTCCAGTACCACCTACAAAAAGAAGAAATATCTTGGAGGTAGTATTTCAAGATAGAATTTCCACAGTTTCACTTGAAGATTTTTTTTGGGAGGTGGGAGTACTGTGGATTGTACCTAGGGCCCTCTGCAGTACCACTGAAATACACTGCCAGCTGCCCCTCATTCTCTAAGATTTTGATTCAGAAGCTCTGGGGAGAAACAAACAAACAAACAAAAAGCCAAGTGACATTATTTTGCTTCCTGGTTGAAGTTCTGTGTCACTGCATTTGGAAACTTGGTTCTTTTGTCCAGTTAGAAGTTTTGCCCTCTGTCCATATCTTGGAGAGGCAGTACAGTTGGTTAAAAACTTGGGCTTTAGAAAAACCTGGATTCAGTTTCTGGCTTTTTTTTTTTTTTTTTTGTGGTCCTGGGATTTGAATTTAGGGCCTCACCCTTGCCACTTAAGCCTCTCCACCAGTGCTTTTTTGTATTGGGTATTTCCAAGATAGGGTCTCTTGAATTTCTGGCTTTTGTGAGTCCTTGATACTTTTTGAGTCCTAGTCTCCTAATTACAAAATAGAAATAATTGAGCCAAGCATAGTGGTACATAGCTGTAGTCTCAGCACTTGGGAGACAGAAGGATTGTGAGTTCAAGGTCAACTTGACCTCTAAAAACCAACTGAATAAAATAGAAATAATCTTGCCTACTACATGTGGCTGCAGATGAATGAAAAAGTACATGTGAGATACTTAGCATAGTTGAAACTCTGTAAACAGAAGCTACTATTATCACTAATGGCTGTTCTTCCCAAAGTGGCCCTTGTCAAAAGAAAATGTCATGATTTTATTTATTTATTTATTTATTAATTTATTTATGGTACTGGGGCTTAAACTCAGGGCCTACTTCTTTTTTTTTTATTGTTTTATTATTCATATGTGCATACAAGGCTTTGGTCATTTCTCCCCCCTGCCCCCACCCCCTCCCAGGGCCTACTTCTTGAGTCACTCCACCAGCCCTTTTTTGTGATGGTTTTTTTTTCCTTTATTCATTTATTCATATGTGATGGGTTTTTTTGAGACAGGATCTTGTGAACTATTTGCCCATGCTGGCTTCAAATTGTGATCCTCCTGATCTCTGCCTCCTGAGTAGCTAGGATTACAGGTGTGAGCCACTGATGCCTGGTTCATCATTTTAAATAAATAGATAAATCAATATTTATTTATTATTAAACCTGTTTTTTTGTTTATTTATTTTGTGGTTCTGGAGGCTATACCCCCAGCTCCAGAAAATTTCATCCTAATTCAATCCTAATAAGCCTGTTTGCTCTTCACACTAAACTGTATAGGAAGCTACCTTAAGTGATTTCCTCAAGGGCATTTTTGGTCATCAGTGAAAGCTCTGAAACACTGCTTCTCCTCAGGGTAGATGCAGTTAACCATCCCCACAAGAGATTAGGAATGTTTACTCAGTAGAGGGTGGTTTGCTGAATAAGCTTGTTGTCTAGGCCTGATTGTGCTGTTGTGCTTAAGTTGTATAAATGAGTTAGGGAAAGTGCAGCCTTCAGGAAACCTGTTTGCCCCTGACACTGAGCTATAGTTCCAACTTTTAGATTTGCTTAGCACCTGGAATGGAGTGCCCCTGCAGATCCTAGTGTCTATGGAATCTGAAATAGATGCTGGGGTTCTGTGTCAGTCACAAGTTCATAGTTAATAAGTGTAACTTTGGTTACATGTGAGTAAGTTACGTGGGCAACTTTGACCCTGTTAAGAGCCTCCCAACTGTGTGATGATGTGAATGTGCTATAGACATGCCAACGTATCGACTTTTATGCTTAAGATTGCTGAAAACAGCTGTCTCCATCGACCCACAGTGTTATACAATAATATCAGTCTCTGTGTATATCTTAGCATCTGGACAAAAATTGAGAAGTACATCCCTGGAAGAAGATAAACAGTTCTTTCTGAGAGTTAGCAAGAAACTTATTTATTTAATTTACTTTCCTTCTTTCTTTCTTTCTTTCTTTTTTTTTTTTTTTTGTGGAACTGGGGCTTGAATTCAGGGCTTTGTGCTTGCAAAGCAGCACTCTACTACTTGAACTACAACTCCAGTCCATATTGCTCTGGTTATTTTGGAGTCATGGAGTCTTGTGAACTGTTTCTCTGGGCTGACCTCAAACTGCAATCCTCCCTAGCTTAGCCTTCCAAGTATCTAGTATTGTAGGCGTGAGGTAACTGCGCCCAGCAGAAAACGTATTTATTTGAATACCCTTTTCTACCAGGAATGTTAGTGAATATTAAGCTGGCTAGGTCATCACTGAGTTAATTCTTGGTACAGCACTGCATTGTCATGATGTCTGATGTGATGCTAAAGTAGGAATATGTGATGTTTTCATTGGCTGTGAGAAATTTATCTCAGAGGACCCTCTTCCAGGTTGCTAGGCTTGAAGTGGCCACTTGGAGAGCATCATAAGCATAATGGGTTTGCCAGGAATTGGTGACTCATGCCTGTAATCCTACCTACTTGGGAGGCTGAGATCTGGAGGATCATGGTTTGAGGCCAGCCAGGGCAAATAGTTTGCAAGACCCCAAATCCAAAATAACCAAAGCAATGTGGACTGGAGGTATGTCTCAAGCAGTAGAGGGCCTGCTTTGTAAGCAAAAAGCCCTGAGTTTAAACCCCAGTCCCACCAAAAAAAAAAAAAAAAAAAAAAAAAACCAAAAAAGTAATGGGTCAAGAGACTCTTGGTGAACCATCTGGGCTATACGTTCCTTAAGAGAAGAGACTATAACTGCCTTCTTTCTGTCTGCCACAGTTCCTGGCAGAACTCCTGGCCCAGAGCAGGAGCTTTAGTAAATATTGGTGCTTTGACATTGGGAGGTGAAAGGAGAACTTCAGGTGAATTACCAGGGTATTTACGTATTTCTGATGGTGGGGTGCTATAGATGGAGTTGGTCGTGACAAAATGAGAACTGAGCAAATTTCTTAATGTCTCTCAGCCCTAAGATTGAAGATCTCAGTATACACCTATTACTTAGAGCAGTGTGTTCAGCTGTAGTCCTTAAGAAGTGGGGTTCACCCCCTACCAAGTTACTATTTTCTAATGAAGAGTCATAGCTGGGTGTGGTGATAGATGCCTGTAGTACCAGTTACTCAGGAGGCTGAGGCAGATTGATTGCTTGATCCTGGAAGTTCAAGGCCAATCTGGGCAACATAGTAATACTGTCTCAAAAATAGGTAAAATTACCAGGCACTAGTGGCTCACGCCTGTAATCCTAGCTACTCAGGAGGCAGAGATCAGGAGGATCAAGGTTCAAAGCCACCCCAGGCAAATAGTTCTCACAACCCTATCTCAAAAATACCCAACACACAAAAAAGGACTGGCAGTGGTAGAGTGCCTGCTTAGCAAGCAGTTCAAACCCCAGTACCCCTCCCCAAAATAAAAAATAATCAAAATACAGCAGTAGAACAGAAATACATAAAATCTTCCTTTTCACATTTGCACATCCCCAGAAACAATCACTTACCGTTAACAGTTTCTCTTCCCTCTTACAACATTTTTTTTTCTTATGTATGTGTTTGTAACTTTTTTTTTTTTTTTTGGTATGATTGGGGTTTGAACTCAAGGGCTTCACGTGTGTAAGACAGGTACTCTATCACTTGAGCCACTCCATCAACCCTGTGTGTGTTAATTTTTCTAAATCCCTCATTGGACATATTCTTTACATACTCATAAAATTACTTCACAGTATATCACAGATATGGATCCTAACGCATAGCCACTTAGTAAAATTGTTCATTGGCTTTTTGTTCATCTTTTCCTTGTCAATATAGATATACCTCATTCTTTTCTTTTCAGTGCTGGGGACCAAAC